CAGCGAAATGCAAGAGAGAATTGAGTGGTGTATAAGGTGCGAGTCAGGCGGCGGACTGTGCGGTAAAGTCTGATAAAACGTCCCAGCGGAGATCCTCTCCGCAGCGAGTGTTCTGGTCCGAAAGCATAAAGTCCGTATTCCAATCAGATAGAGCAAGGTAACTGACGTCAACAGATTTGGCCTGAGGGGCCCTTCTTGTTTGGGCCCGGTCCCACTGAGTCCCAAATGGTCCCAGTGGAGTCAGAAACGGGTCCCAACCAACAAGAGTTCCACAGAGACCTACTCTGTCCCTACCAAATTGAAAAACGAAATTTTGCCCCAGAAAGAACCTGTAGACTACAGCTGTTCAGAATGAAATAAACAAAGCACTGTAGAGAGATATCACATGGCAAACAAGATACTCCATTCATTCACTCGTCAGGTAGTAGGCAGTTCACACACCTCACACACAATCAAGACTATGGAGGATGGAAGAAGAACCCAGAGAACCCCAACAGGCAGTCAATTCCATGCACACACACATGGGCACCCTGATGGCACGGCACTTACCTGAGTGGCCGGGCTCTTGAGATGAAAAGAGGGTCAACATCTACCCCAAAGTACAAAGCCGGATCCCCCGTCGATGTTGAAGATCAAAGCAGCAACTTGCAGTCCGTAGGTGCAGATATGGCTGCCACCCTCAAGCTCACCTACTTGAGGGGAGCCCTAAAGTCACTCCTCGTCTTCCCTGAAGTCCAGATTCAAGTTGTAGGTGCCCTTCACTGTCGCCTCTCTCAAATTGCATCACGAAGTCCCACCTTGTGTCTCGCCACCACAAACATGCACTCAAGCAACCTGGCCGGGCCTAGTGTCGACCCTACACGGCCCTGCCAGGTGGGAGCAGCTTCCCTTCACCACGCTGCCCCACTTAACCCTAACTTCCAGCCCTAACCCTACGTGGTTAGCCCTTACCACTAGGGTTAGAGTTATGGCAGCAAAGTCAACTCTCGCCAACAAGTAGAATCCGCTCTGATACCAATGTTACGATCCTGGCCAATTTCGAAGTCCACAATCATCAGAAAGTACAATGTTGTCCAATTGCGAAAAGAAATGAATGAACTTGAGTCCAATACCATCCAATTGCAAAAGAAATGAAAGAACTTGAGAGGAGAGAGAGGGGAAGAAGAAGAAGAAGAATCGAGAAAGAAGAAAGAAATGATGTACTCCAGCATAGACCAAAGACAAAGCTCTTCTTCTTCGCTCAACAACCTCCTCCTCTTTATCTCCTCCTCTCTTATTCAAACAATAAATAAACAATAATAATGTTGAACAGCTGAACCAGAATCAATGTCCGAATCCCACTTCTACTGCAGGCACAAGATGAGGTCCACCATAGCCATGGCAGCCCTTCTTCTTCCTCCACATACAGGACGAGGCTATGGCGGACTTCGGAGGCTTCAGCCTCCTGTACAAGAGACAACCCAAAGCAGCTACATCGCTGCCCTACTCCAAGATCATCACCCAGCAGCTATGCCGCTGCCCACTCAACCGCCATGCCTGACTCTGTCCGAGCTTCCTTGATGCGGCACTACCCCCACTGGGGCCTTCCTGATGCARCGCYTAGCAAGGAGATGAAGATGGTGTCTACCATAGCCGGTAAGTACCTCGCCACTCTSCTCCTTGGTCCCCTTCTCCCTCCTCCTCCTACCGGTAGAGCTCCACCATAGCCAAGGTGGAAGCTCCCAGCTTCTTCCTCCCAGCAGCGCTGTAGTGCCCAGCGCTCCTCCACCTAGCGCTCCAGCAGCGTGACGCCCAACTCGCACACTGAAGAATGAGGCCGGGCTCTCCRCMCTGCCTCTTGATATAGCGKCCTACTTGCCTCCTGGKCGGTGACTTCCAGGCCGCTCGGCCTCTCCAAGCAACCGGTACCTCCTCCGTTTCGGAGGGAAACATCATTGCAGACCCTGATATTACCCGTACAGGCTCTAGACTCAGACTGGTTGGACTGGTACCGGCCTAGACCTACCCTACCGCTACTGGACTCTAAAAATGCCAACTTTGTCTTTTTCTGCTCGGCCTCCAGTACCCCCTCACGCCAACTGCAGTGGGGTGCAGTATCGGCCTACCGGCCTACTTGAGTGCTTTTCCGCTAACCCAAGGGCCTCAGGGCCGCTAGCTTCGCCACTTGAGTGTTTTTCCCTGCTACAACCCTCAATGCCACGGCCACAGGTAAGTACCGGCCCTACGGGCCTACCAAACAAGCAAGTACCCTTGCGGGTCCCACACACACTCGTACCAACAAGCACTCAGACAGGCATGCAGGTCACAAGCACGCACCCACATACAGACTTAGAAACACAGCAGAATGCGGGAATCTCAGCAAGGCATCCATTCCATCGGCAGAACTTCAGAAATCAGCAGTGTTCTCAGTCTGTGTTTTGACGGGTCATTACAGGTGACATTTTGGGCTACCATATCGGTGACTTTCTGGATTCTATCGCGGTGACATCTGGCGCTGCCCATATCTCCCACCTCCATCGTCTCTCCTCCCACCATTCATCTGTGTATGGTTGTACGGGGCCTGAAGCATCGTCTATGTATGGCTTCAGACCCCACCATCTCATGATTGCTTGTGTGTTGAGTGATGTTGGGGTAAGTCCAGTCAATGTGAGTCGGTCCATTTCTCAGACTTCCGCTGTATACATGCTCATCCTATATTGGTTGATCTTTGGTTCTGCCCATACTTGGTGAAGTGTTCACTAGTATGCAACAGGTACGCTAGAATAGATCGGGGAGGGAAGCGTCCCATAGGCCCAGCAGGTGGATTTCGATAGATAGGCATGAGGGTAGGTAGTGTGAGGCATATTGGAGAGAAGAATAAAGCTTAGCTTCAAAAAAAAAAAAAAAAAAAAAAAAAGAAAGAAAGGAGAAACGAAAACAAGAAAAATCACAAAATACAACAGCCTTCAGTCAGTCAGTGACTCATCGGTTTAGCAATACGCGATAAATTCCATAAAGAAGTAAAAAGAAGAAGAAACAAAAAAAAAAAAAAAAAAAAAAAAAAAAATGTAACAGCCTTCAGACAGTCTCTTGTTCCAGCATGTCTCAGAAGTAGTATTACCCATAGCCTCACCTTCAACACACCCAACATGGCACTAACCTTCCAATGCCGCTACAGCTCTCAACCTTAGCGGCCAAGCCGCTACCAAATGGAGAGATCACAACCCAGAAGAAAGAATCTACTGTGGATCATGAAACACTTCGATTCCTGCTGGAATCACCACAAATAAAATGTGAAAAAATCACAACGAAACAACAACGATGGAACAAAAAAAAGAAAAGAAGAGGAAGTGACAGCATGGGCCTATCCAAAGGAAAATAATAAAAATAGTGCAGACACCAACGCATAATGTGAAAAACACGCCTTGGTCTTCATCTTCTCCAATGCAGTTGCTCGGCTCGGACTTCCTAGCCCCACACTGATTCAATGACTGCGATTTTGGAAGTTCACACAGATGCACCCCGAATCTTCCCGGACACTTGGGAATGCATCATCAGCGACAAATCATTCATGATAAGAGTCTCAATGAAAACCTCCCCCACCTGCTTCAGATGCAGGAAGAGAGGCCACTTGGGAAGTGATCCAAAATGTCCTTGCTGCCCTGACCGAACGAGAGAGAAGAAGCTGAAACGGACCATGTTGGTTGAGGTACAAGAAGCTAAAGGAATATGGTTTGTGAATGACTCAGATTATGATGGCTGGGCCTTCGACGAACAATATTATTCTGACCCTAGATGGACCTGGACCTATCCAACTTCAAAGCAGCCGGACATTTTCTCACCATCTGCCAGCAAATGGCATTCGGTTGGAGCAAAAGAAGTCACTGGACTCCCCGGGAAATTTCACTCTGACGCGGTCATAGATTCCTGAGTGATCGAAGAGGACAAGAAACACGAAGATCTCATATGCGATCTGGAATCGATCAGACAGCAGACTACCAAGTCCTTCCCCAATGCAGAGGAAGATAGCAGCCTACTCATGGAAGCTAGACAGATCATAGAAGAGTGCTGCTCTCAAGCAGGCAGGCCTCCCCCTCGAGCGAGAACTCGGAGGCCTTGGCAGGTAAGAAGAAGAGAAGAGCTGTCGAAACCGGGTGAGGCCCCCGAGACTGAGCAGACCACCCAGAGCTCCCCATCTGACTCCGTCTCCGAATCGGGCTGGGGCAAGTTCGGAAGCACAAATGGGAATGGACATTTCACCAATCAAAAGTGACCCAAATGGAAAGCCAAAAGGCAAAGAGGAATCTCCCATTCCAAGGTCGAAGGAATACGTAGAGAAAGCCAAGTACGAAAGAGAGGAGTTTGACATCCGGGTGGCTTGCGTGAAGCACCTGGAGAAAGCATGCAAATGCAATGCACCCCAGACCGTTGTGTCGGGGATCCCAGCCTCCTCAAATCCCTATGATCTTCTGCGGCAAAAGAAAGAGCTGTCAGAATTCAGTGCATTCAGACACTAGAAGAAAAAGAGAAGGAGAATCCTCTGGATGTGACACGGACTCCAGTCTGGACACCCGGACCACGAAGGATTCCATCAAAGACATGGTGCCGAGGAAACGGAAATCGCTGAAGGGTCGAGAACGCCGCCTGCTCACACAATAGATTGCTATCGTGGCAGCACAGACAAAATGTCTGTTCGATCAAAACGAAGAGCACAAACAGGAGCACAAGAAGGAATACTTCAATATCTAGAAAGTGGCGGAGAACAAAGCTCC